TTTCAGGGAGGTCTGGGACCTCAACAATGTTTCAGGGAGGTCTGGGAACTCAACAATGTTTCAGGAGGTCTGGAACCTCAATGTTACTTTTGTGAGATCTGGGATCTCCAATAAAAAGTCACGTGGGGACTTATCAATATCGATATTGTGTTTAAAGGAAAGGAGTTTCAGGGAACTTTCAGTTATCCTAGTTCAACATCAAGTGTGATATGCGATCTAAAGCGATATTGTGAAATTGGAGATATACCGGTAAAAGCATTCAGAGTATATGTTGAAGATGACTCCCTGCTACTACCACACCAAATCTTAGCTCATAACCTGTAAGGTTTAGGTGTTTTTTGTTTGCTAAGGTTTATTAGCTGAAACTGTGTTGACTCCAAAAGATATGTTGAAGATGATCATCCAGTGAATACTTTCTGATCGTTCCATCAAAGCCCATTCAGTGATTCAAAAGATATTTTGCAGACATGACAGACAATTAAACACATACGCACAAAGCAAGGCCATTATTGCCCTTTTGGCAGCAGGTAATAATTAGCTCATGATAAAAAACAAAACTAAAAGACAGATCAGTTCTGTAATGTTTTAAAGTGTTGGTGTACCTGGAATAGCTAACCACTTGCTCATGGTCTGTGTGGCTGTGGTGAGAATCTGATCCTCAGGTACCAATTGGTCCACAAGTCCTATTTTCAAGGCGTCTGAAGGTTTGTAGAGCAGCCCCAATTGCAGTGAGATGTCTGTGTTCCTGTACCCTACTATGTTTTGTAAGGTGTCCTTAAACCTGAGGATGTGAAAGAGATTAAAGAAACTCTGAACAAGCAATGCTCAGCTTGTTTTACACATTCCATGGATTAAGACCGTCATACTTCCATACCAGAAAGGTGCTACAATACCGAGCAGTGTCTCATTCAGACCGATGCTGTAACGAGGGTTATCTGCCATGATCCTGTAGTCACACACCAAAGAAAGGAGACATCCGCCTGCAGGACTGGAACCCTGTGGAGGAACACAGGAGGATCTCACAGTCTTTGGTTTTAAGTGATTGTTGGTGTGCTGCTGAGGTGGAAGCTGTGATGTACATACATTAATTGCAGCTATAGTGACCATGTCGGAGCCATAGAGTTTCAGCCACATCTCCTGCACGGCTTTCCAGAACTCCCCACAGCGCTCGGGACTTTTACCGTACATCTCTAAGATATCCAGGCCAGCTGAAAACACCTTGGGTTGGCTCTAAGTCAAACAAGCCACACAGCAAAAAGCAGAAGATGACCTGTGAACATTTATTTAGAAGTCACACAGTCTTATTATTTCAGCTTTTTTTTGTGTGTGTGTGTCTTTGTTTTTGTTACTTTGTAAGGCACATTTTTCCAACTTATACTTCATTGTGAGGACCAACTGCTCCTTATGGGGCCCAAAGCCTGAGCCCCATGAGAAGAAGTGCTGTTGGTGGGTTAGGGGTTAGGTGTAGGCATGTAGTGATAATGGTTAGGTTTAGGGTTATGTATGTACTGGTAATGGTTAGGTTTAAGGTTATGTATGTACTGATAATGGTTAGGTTTAGGATTACGTATGTACTGGTAATGGTTAGGTTTAGGTATGTACTGGTAATGGATAGGTTTAGGGTTATGTATGTACTGGTAATGGTTAGGTTTAGGGT